ATAATAATAATAATAATAATAATAATAATAATAATAATAATAATAACAATAACAATAACATTAATAATAATAACAATAATAATAATAACAATAATAATAATAATAACAACAACAATAATAATAATAACAATAATAATAATAATAATAATAATAATAATAATAATAATAATAATAATAATAATAATAATAATAATAATAATAATAAGGCTAGTATAAATTAAAGTTGATTATCAAGCGAAAAGAACCAAGACGCTTAGCTTCCATGTGGTTGCCCTTCTTATTGGTTTAGAGTTGATGAATTAAGATAATTTAAGTGGGTACTCAGAGACACATATAGTATCTTTCTAATTGTCAATGATCGATAAATCATCTTTACAGAAGAGGGACAACTGCAAGTGCATATGATCCATCGCCACATCGGCTAATGTACACATTAATTACTAATTTAGTCAGTAAAAATTTTGTCGAGCTTCTTTCTGTCTTCAACGTTTAACCTTTTACTAGAAAAAATATTGATCACTTGTTTTCAAACTATTTATATATGTATGCATATATTATATAGTTTGTCTTTTTTGGCTTTAGAAATGCACTACGTATGTCTTTTTTTTCTGTTTTTGAAAGTGTAAGTTTGATGGAGATGGATTTTGATCTCATGACATTATGATAATCTCACAAAGTAGGATACCTAGCACAATCTACATGTATAGTATGTCATGTTTACCTACATACCGAATTGGTTTACGAGGAGGCTAATAACAAATAAATTATATCTAACAAAGAGATATCTGTAAAAGTTACTCCCATTGTTGTGTTTTCCTGATCTATCGTTCCTTCAATCCATAGAAGGAGTTTCATTCATTAGGTAGTAGATAATTCTAAAGCTAATCCGTACCTATTATTTGTAAATATTAAATGATTTAACTATTTTGTTTGTGTATATGTCACATGATTTATGAACTAGTCCTATATTTATGATTTTATACATCAGTCAAACATTTTCATATGAACACATTGTTTCTGTATCAGCTCTCCTATGTTGATATTCATATATCGATACTCCTACGTCGATATTTCTAAATCAACACTCTTACATTTGTTCATTATCTTCATAGTCGCATTGATTTGGATATATCTAATTTAGGCGGAGAAGCACACCTTGACAAGACTGAGCTCATATCTCCTCCACCCATCTTATAATTCGACCTCTGGCGTAAGAACAAACGATGCTAGTTTAACAAATGACATCTAATGAGATTAGCCATCACTTTCCTACTACAGAATCAATATGTTGCTATGACTACTGTAAATCGAAATAATATAATTTGTATTAAGCATAGAATATCCTCGTAGTCGCACATGACATAGAGGAACTTCTCCAACGGTGCACCATTTCTCCAAGCATTCCTTAAAAATTATATTTATAAAGATCGTGCTATTTCAATAATAACATTAAAGGACAAGAAGAAAGACTATTCTTCCAGCTAACTCAACCTCTCTTTCTCTTGACAAGGTACAATAAATTCTATCCTATGGCAAAGTATCATCTAACTTCTATGTCGAAAGCCTCAAAGTATCATCTAACTCCTTATTAGATATTTTATTCTAAAAGAAAAACCTCAAAATTATATTTATTAATTTATCTATTTATTTAATTATATATATTATTCTTTAATTATTTCTATTTTTATGATTTAATCGATATTTTAATTAAATTTATTGACTATGATTATACATAATGTAGTGTCAAGTTCTCGTATATAGTAACACATATAACATGTCAATGGACGTATAAATAATATATATAAATTATTATTATTAAAAAATATCTTTTATAATATCTATGCTTAAAAAATATAATATATGATATGCTCATGTTATTTATTTTAAAGTTAAAGTATATATATTATGTATAAAGTTCTTCAAAATACTAGTTGAAGTATATAAAAATATCGACGTCTATGTTAAGCATATTTTACAATAAAAAGGAATGATCCTTCATCTTAATAAGCCTAAATATACTAATGGACTTGAGTATGAGGTTAAGTCATTATAATAAACATATATGTGGTAATTAAAAAAAGACTTATGCAATGTAATAAGTCTTAAGTGATTTTTAAGACTTCAATAAGTTTAAACATCTTTAAGGTAAAAAAATTTGAGTTTTAAGTATCGTATATATGAAGGATAATAAGTTACTTAAGCAGTAATAAAAAATTAAGTGTAGATAAA